CGCTGAAACGGGTTTGACTCAGTGGATAGAGAGAGCGTCAGCCTGCGGACTGAAAGGTCCTAGGTTCAATTCTGGTCAAGGGCATGTACCATAGTTGCGGGCACATCCCCAGTAGGGGGTGTGCAGGAGGCAATTGATCAATGTTTCTAGCTCTCTCTCCCCATTTCCTCTCTGTAAAAAAAAAAAAAAAATCAATAAAATATTTTTTTAAATATACTTTATTGATTTTTTTACAGAGAGGAAGGGAGAAGGATAGAGAGTGAGAAACATCGATGAGAGAGAAACATTGATCAGCTGCCTCCTGCACACTCCCTTCTGGGAATGTGCCCACAACCAAAGTACATGCCCCTATCCGGAATTGAACCTGGGACTTTTCAGTCTGCAGGCCAACACTCTATCCACTGAGCCAAATGGGCTTCGGCAATAAAATTTTTTTTTTTTTTTTTAAAGAAGATATGCCACTATTCTCTCTCAAAGAGAATAGCCCATTTAGAGCCAGACAGATGTGTGACAGAAAAATGAGAAGCTTTTAACACTTCAGGAAAGAAAGAGATGGCTCCTAACTAGTATGAGAAGGAAGTTAAACAGAGGCAAGCATTTGAGTTTTGAAGAATAGTAGGCCCTAGCTGGTTTGGCTCAATGGATAGAGCCAAATTGGACTAAGACCTGAAGGGTCCTGGGTTCGATTCCAGCAGGGGCACATGCCTGAGTTGCAAGCTCGATCCCCAGTGGGGGGCATGCAGGAGGCAGCTGATCAATGATTCTCTCTCATTAATGTTTCTATCTCTCTCTTCTTCCTCTCTCTGAAATCAATAAAAATATATTTTAAAAAAATGAATATTAGAATTTCAGAGAATGAAGTGGAAGAAGGTAAACAGATAAGATTTTAAAATTACTGTCTCTTGTACCAATATTCCTTGCCACTTATAGAATTACCTTTAGAACAAAAGGTAAAAACTATTTTTTACTCCATGAGTGATTTACCACACGCACATACTACTTAATCTTTTATCTACATTAACAGAAACTCATAGTCTGAGACTCCTTCGATCACGAGTCAATGTTTTGACTAAAAGCCTAGAAATAGAATAATTTGGCATAACTATTGTTGCTATTAGAAAACTGTGAGCTATTTTGACAAGCAAATTCAGAGAGCTGTTTCTATAAACTAGCATTCCAAATTTAATAACAGATATCAGCTACAGTGAGTGTTTTGTTGTTGTTCTTAATCCTCACCCAAGGATATTTTTCCATTGATTTTTAGAGAGAATGGCAAGTAGAGGGAGAGAAAGAGAGAAATATCAATTACTTGCCGCCTACATGCACCCTGACAAGGGCTGGGACAGAGCCTGCAACCAAGATATGTGCCCTTGACCAGAATTGAACCCAGGACCCATCAGTCCCCAGGCTGACACTCTCTCCACTGAGCCAAACCAGCTAAGGCTGCCATAGGTTTTTTTAATGATTAAATTCATCAATGGGTCATGCAATTAAAATTCCCCTTAATTAGCTGAAACCGGTTTGGCTCAGTGGTAGAGCGTTGGTCTGCAGCCTGGAAGGTCCCAGGTTCGATTCCGGTCAGAGGCATGTACATTGGTTGCGGGCATATCCCCGGTAGGGGGTGTGCAAGAGGCAGCTGGTCGGTGTTTCTCTCTCATCGACGTTTCTAGCTCTCTATCTCTCTCCCTTCCTCTCTGTAAAAAATCAATAAAAATATTTTTTTAATTCCCCTTAATTAAATAAAAAAATAATTTCCATAAACTACCCATTAGTATACTTTATCATTCTTTTTAAAAAAATATATTTTATTTCAGAACCTGGGACCCTTTAGTCCACAGGCCGATGCCCTATCCACTGATATTTTCTCTCATCACTGATATTTTTATTTCTTTCTCCCTCTCCCTTCCTCTCTGAAATAAAAATATATTTTAAAAAAGAAAAGAAAAAAAGAAAAATGCAAAAGGAGTAAAAAACCATATTGTAACACTGTATTAATTCAAAATGGACTGCATCCGGCAGTAGAAATGTTCAGAGCACAACTACCTCTTCCTCTATACTCCCACAATACTAAGCATCTGCCTACATACTAGCAATTACTATACAGTAGTCCCCCTTTATTTGCTGGGGATATATTCCAAGACCCCAGTGGATACCTAAAACCTCAGGTAGTATCAAACACAATATATACTATGTTTTTTCCTATACGTACATACCTATGATAAACTTTATAAGTTAGGCACAGTAAGAGATTAACAACAATCATTAATATAGTAAAAGCCTAATATGCAAACTGTCCCCTCAGGCAGTCATTCAACTGGGAATTCAACCACTAGCTATGACATGCGCTGATCACCAGGGGGCGGTGCGGACCATGGTGGGCTTCCACAATGCAGCTCTGGCAGAGTAGGCGCTGCCAGCCCCCATGAGAGCCAGACTGCAATGGGATGGTGGAGCAGGTGAACAGGCAGCACCAGGCGAAGGTCAGTGCGGGAGGGGGGGGGGGGGTACACCACGACGACGACGACGACGACGACGACGACGACGACGACGATCACTCTGCAAATGGCAACAAGTGGTGGCAGCAGGGGGTGGAGCCAGTGCTGAGGGAGCCAGGCGAGGGGCCCAGCCCCGATCAATCGCCTCACAGGCAGAATGGTGAAGCAGGTGAGGTAGCGGTGCCAGGCAACAGCAGGATGCCAGGTGGGGCTGCAGGGATGCAAGGCTGGAGGCATGAGCTGAGGCTGTGAGGCTGGGGGCTTGAGCTAGGGCCCAATCCCCACAGGCCACCTCAAGGGACCCCACCCATGCACAAATTCATGCACCATGCCTCTAGCCTAATATGCTAAGTGTCTGGTCATTGGTTCAACAGAAGTGTAATATGCTAATGATATGCTAAGGCCGCTCAACCACTCACTATGATGTGCACTGACACCAGGGGGCAGACAGATGACTGTTCACCCAGTCACTATGACATGCACTGACCACTACTGGGGATAGACACTCCGACCAGTAGGTGAGCTTGCTGCTGGGGTCTAGCTAACAGGGATTGAGTGAGATGGGCCAGACGTGCCCTGGAGCCCTCCTGCAGTCCCTCTCTGACTGGACAACCTCCCACATCCCTCTCTGGCCCCCATGGCCTGGCCTGTGTCCTCTTGCAATCTAGGCTGAGGGGCCCCCAGCCCCTGCCCCCAAGAGCATGAATTTCATGCACTGGGCCCCTAGTAACTAATGAAATAGATTATGACAATATTCTGTAAAAGTTATGTGTGTGGTCCATCTCTTAAAATATCTTATTGTACTATTCTCACCTTTTCCTTAAAGGATGCACTTTACAGTTTCTCTCTGTCATATTTGAATTGTCAGCATCATTATTTATTGAACTTTGGGGTTATTATTAAGTAAAATAAGGGTTACTTGAACACAAACACTGTGGTACCAAGACAATTGATCTGATAGTGGAGGTGGCTACTAAGTAACTATCAGGCATGGAGCACTTACAGCGTGGATATGCTAGTCAAAGAGATAATGCATGTCCCAGGCAGGATGGAGTGGGATGGCTTGAGATTTCATCATCCTACAATTTCAAACTGATGCACTGTTTATTTCTGCAATTTTCCATTTAATATTTTTGAACTCTGATTAACTGCAGGAAAGCAAACCCACGGATAAGGAGGGACTACTGTACTAAAGCTGTTCTATGTCTCCTCTTCTCCTTTCAAAGCACAATAGAAAATAATTCTATTTCCTGCATCCATATAAGCCCTCAGCAAAAGGCTGCTGAGTGAATAAGCAAACACAGCTTTATAAATTCATTTTAGAGCCAACACAAAACCTAAATGTTAACTCATAGATATTCTGATGAAAAAACACACAGAACATTCATCTGAAAAATTAAAATTAAAATAAAATCAGAGTTCAGATGGCTAAAGACAAAACTAGAAGAGGGATGGTAAAAAAAAAAAAAAGGGTATAAAGAAGTAGGATTTTGTTTTTAATTTTTATTTACTGATTTGAGAGAGAAACATCTATTTGTTGTTCCACTTATTTGTACAGTCACAGATCAAACTTGAAACTCTGGTGTACAGATATCAATAATAATCAAAATGTAGCCCTGACTGGTTTGGCTCAGTGGCTAGAGCGTTGGTCTGTGGACTGAAAGGTCCCAGGTTCGATTCTGGTCAAGGACATGTACATTGGTTGTGGACACATCCCCAATAGGGAGTGTGCAGGAGGCAACTGGTCAATGTTTCTCTCTCATCGATGTTTCTAGCTCTCTATCCCTCTCCCATCCTCTCTGTAAAAAAAAAAAAAATCAAAATATATTTTAAAAAATAAAATTCAGTCAATTATATGCAAAGACAGACTCTCCAAATCTTCTATTTATCCTATTTCTATTCTGAACTAAATTTTCTAAAGTTTTCCAATCAGAATTGACATTGGCTGTTTTTTATATTCCTGAGTCTCCTCTCCTGGTTTAGCAGAAGTAGTAATTTATCCAAAAATTAGTTCCAGTACAACCGAATACTCTTTTATTAAATATACACTTCAAAAACTTCACACTTTCAGCTTAAAGATAGCTGCATTAACTTTAGACTTTAAAAATAAGGGAAGTCGTTCGTGAAAATAAAAATATGCATGTTAACAAAAAAATACATTCACAAAAATGACTTAGTAAAACAATCTAACTTGAGGTTTCTCTATCATTTCATACACTAAATGTAAGATGGTCCCTCAAATTCCATTTTTTAAAATATATTTTTATTAATTTGAGAGAGGAAGGGAGAGGGAGAGTTAGAAACATCAATGATGAGAATCACTAATCAACTGCCTCCTGCATGCCCCCTACTAGGGATCAAGCCGCAACCCAGGCATGTGCCCTTGACCAGAATCGAACCCAGGACCTTTGAGCCCCCAGACTGATGCTCTATCCACTGAACCAAACCAGCTAGGAATCAAATTCCACTTTTGCTTTCTTTCCTTACTACATCTCCTTAGGCAACCATGTCTGAAAAACACGATATGGCTGAGATTGAGAAATTTGATAAGTTGAAATTGAAGAAAACAGAAACACAAGATAAAAATCCACCGCCTTCAAAGGAAACGATTGCGCAGGAGAAGCAGGCAGGCAAAATGTAATGAGGCGCACACTACCAACAAGCACTGTACATTCCACAAGCACAGCCTTCTTATTTACTTTTATTATCTGTTTAATTTTGTAAGATCAGGTTATCAGAGAACTACTGACAATAAAGCAGCACCTACCGCTCCCCTCTGCCTGACTGGCTGGCAAGAAAGGAAAGAACTTGCATGTTGGTGAAGGAAGAAGCTGGGTGGAAGGACAATCGAATCTATAGTAAAAACCAAGCTGGTCCAGCCTTGGCTGGTGTGGCTCAGTTGGTTGAGCACTGTCCTGAGAACCAAAATGTCACCAGTTCAATTCCCAGGCACATGACCAAATTGCAGGCTGGATACCTGGTTGGGTACTAGAGGAAGGCAGCCCATTGATGTTTCTCCCTCTCCCTCCTCTCTCTAAAAATCAGAAAAACGTATTAAAACAAAAGGTGTCCTAAACGTATTGGTCCAAGGTGTCCTAAAGGCTGTAAAATGTAGTTTAATCAGACTGTTGTTGTTAAAATGATTTTAATTATTGGAATGCACAATTTTTAATATGCCTGAGGGAAGCCTGGGTCCTGGGTGCCAGAGGGAAGCCAGTGCTGTAGCTGGGTGAAGGCTTACTCTTGCATGAATTTCATAATTTCTTGCACCAGGCCTCTTGTATCCTATATAATGAAAAGCTAATATGCAAAGAGACTGAACGGCACAATGACCAGTCACTATGACACTCACTGACCACCAGGGGGCAGATGCTCAACCCAACAGCTGCCCCCTGGTGGTTAGTGCGCCAGAAACCCAACTGGCAAGTGCAGAGGTGGTAGAGGGAGCCTCTCCTGCTTCCAGGGCAGTCAGACATCCCCCAAGGGTGCAGGCTGGCCCAAGGATATTATCACAAAAGACAGATATATGGTTACTTCTAAAAGAAATAGATGGTTGTAATAAAAAAGGGGTACATTAAAAGTACCTCTGAGGCACCAGCAATATTTTCTTTTCTTGACTCAGATGGTAGTTACACAGGTGTTGGCTTATAATTATTATTTAAAATGCATACATCTTATGCACTCATCAACCTTTCACAATTAAAAAAAAATAGGTAAAGCTAACTTTTAATACTATTTAATAATAATATGTAAATATTTCTGCAGATATTATTCTGAACAGGAGCTCACATATTTCATCTAAAATAGTGTCAGCTTAACAGTGCACAGCAAAACCTACCTGGTAAAGGTAAGAACAGCAAAGTCATTCAGAATGTAATGAAAAAAGAGAAAAATCTCAAGGTTCCAATACTCCTCAAATTTTAATGTGAATCTCATTAAACTACACATTCAGATTCATTAAGACTGTAGTAGGACCTTTCTGCATTCTAAATTTGGTGATGCCAATGATGCCAATTCATGGACTCTTGAGTACCAAGTTCTTAAGTAATTATTAAAATGCAGCTGGTATTAATACTAGATGATAAAAGAAAAGAGAATCAATAGGTATTGAGGGTATGTGCCAGATACATTAACTCATGTAATCCTACATCTACTCTATCAGGGACATGTTATCAATTATATTTTACAGATGAGAATAATGGGACTCAGATAAATTAATTTGCCTATGATTACATAGCTTTGTAAAAAGAAGAGGAACCAGAATATGAACCCAATTTTATGGCTTCATTGTTAAGAAAAAAGATAGCATAAATCAGTCATTGAAATTAATTTAAAATCATTGACAAAATAACTATAACATGTTCCATTACATGGTATCTTACATATAGTATCACTTTCCCCATTAGCTCATTCTTCAAAATGTCATTCCCCCTGCTAGGACACTTATCATTGTTATCTACCTTTGAAATAGTGTAACAAAAGACCTATCTAAAATCTAACTTTCCTGATTCCAGTCTCTTGCCCCATCAATGTTTGAAGTCTCTAGGAATGTGAGAAATGAGAAACATGATGAAAATGGTTTTTCAGGAAGTAGAATTCAAAGTACTCTGCAATCCCACTGGCTGGAGGCGTGGCTCAGTGGCTGAGCATTGATCAAAGTATCTGCAATCCCACAATTGGGATTTCAAATTTCTGTTTCATATGGAGTCAGCTTCCACACTGACACACAAAAATATCCTATAAAGACCTTAGGAGGGTGGCTCAGCTGGTTGGAGCATTGTCCCAATACGCCAAGGTTGTGGGTTCGATCCCTGGTTAGAGCACATGTAAGAAACAACAATGAATGCATAAGTAAGTAGAACAACAAATTGATATTTTTCTCTGTCTCTCTCTCTCCCTCAAATCAATAAAAACAACAGCACTGCCCTACTTGGTGTGGCTCAGAGAATAGAGCATCGGCCTGTGGACTAAAGGGTCCCAGGTTCTATTCCAGTCAAAGTCATGTACCTTAGGTGCAGATTTCCAGGACCTGGTTGGGGTGTGTGCAGGAGGCAACCAATCGATGTGTCTCTCTCACAGAGATGTTTCTTTCTATCTCTCCCTCTCCCTTCCAATCTCTCTAAAAATCAATGGAAAAATATCCTCGGGTGAGGATTAACAAAAACACACACAAAAGACAGCACTTATGTATTGTAGGATAAAGCAAATAAATGTGAACAATACTAAAAGTCAAGATTTTCAGTTTACCTCTTTTCCACTGCCAGTCTGCCGCCATCATAGGTCGCATGCATACTCTCAGGAAGGGCCTGTCCCAATCAGTTCTGCCCTACTGCCCCAGCATCCCCACCTGGCTGAAAGTGACATCTGACAATATGAAGGAGCAGATCTACAAACTGGTCAAGAAGGGCCTGACTCCCTCACAAATTGGTGTGATCTTGAGAGATACACATAGTATTGCACAAGTTTTGTGACAGGCAATAAGATCTTGAGAATTCTTAAGTCTAAAAAGTCCTGAGGATCTCTACCATTTAATTAAGAAAGTTGTTACACCCTGACAGGTTTGGCTCAGTGGACAGAGCATCGGCCTGCGGACTCAAGGGTCCCAGGTTCGATTTCGGTCAAGGGCATGTACCTTGGTTGCAGGCACATCCCAGTGGGGGGTGTGTAGGGGGCAGCTGATTGATGTTTCTCTCTCATCATGTTTCTAATTCTATCCCTCTCCCTTCCTCTCTGTAAAAAAAAGAATAAAATGTATTTTTTTTAAGTTGTTACAGTTCAAAAGCATCTTGAGAGAAACAGAAAGGATAAGGATGCTAAATTCTATCTGATTCTGATCAAGGGCCATATTCACTGGTTGGCTCAATATTGTAAGACCAAGCGAGTCCTCCCCCACAACTGGAAATATGAGTCTTCTGTAGCCTCTGAGCTGATTGCATAAAATATCTATGTACTCAAGCAATAAAATAATTGTTTAACTTAATATATAAAATAATATACATATCAGTTTAAGGAAAGAGAAACAAATATAAATATAAAGGGGGGGGGGGGGGAGAGCCCTGCAGTTCAAAATAAACTGGAAATATCAAGCCTGGCCAGTGTGGCATAGAGGAGGCAGCTGGTAGATGTTTCTACCTCTCTCCCTCTCTAAAAATCAATAAACATTTTAAATTGGAATTATCAACATAAAGTTCTGATTTCTAAAAAACATCTTTTCTAGCTCTACCACTGAAAGTATCTAGAAATAATAAAGACCTAACAGCAATGAGCTTGATTTCTAATGGAAGTCCCTGTAAAAAAACAACTTGGTCTTCCTAAGAAAATGACTGATTTCAGGTCAAGGATGGGGAGAGTACAAGGTGAATCTGAGATATCTTGTTGTGACAGAAAACATCCCAAAGACCAATGTGGGCATGTCAAAAAGACACATCAACTTGAAGAAGAGACTTACAGTGGCCTAACTTCAGTGTCAAAAAGACTAATGGCTGTAACTAAGTGTAAAGGGAAACATTTACAATGCAAAGATCTAGGACTTTCACGTTAACAAAGGCATCAAATTATAGTAAAAAATCTGACATCATGAGTACACAGTGTCACAAAAGATTGCAAATTCCTATCTAATAAAAGGGTAATATGCAAATTAACCATCAATCCGTCACAAAGATGGCAATGAGAGCCCAGCGTCCCGCACCCTGGCCATGCGGAGGGAGGGAGGAACATATCTCAGCGAAAGCTAAGAAAGCAGTCTTGCAAACACAATACTGCTTGATCCTAAGACAAGCCAAGACTGATGCTTTTGGACAAGAAACAGCAAGGCTAACTAGTTTTAAAAAAAGCTTTAAGAAATACTGAGATAGAAGAATAAATTTCACTTTCCTTTGACTTTCATCTGAAAAGCCAGCAGATAGAAGAGGCAACATTTAGTAAAACTATATTTATGAATTCATAACTAACATCAATCTTTCTCCTAATTCTCCTAACAATGCAACAAAAGGATCGTTCTGGAAAAGATTTCTTACTCTCTAAATCACAACACAAGTTAAACAGTTAAAGTGAATAAAGGAAACAAAAATTTGGAGAAGTATGCCATACTAGGGAATTCCTTAAAGTAGTTGAAATAAAAAGTACCCTAAGTATTAAATATTCTAATAATAGCTAAAACTTAAACTTGCTTACCTTTATAAAAATTAAATGAACTACCTCAAACCTATATATTACCAGAAGACAAGAGAAAATAAGTTACTGTCTAAGTTAAGTTACTGTCCAGAGTAATAAAATTTTTCTCAAGTAACTATTGCTTTACATAATAGAGGCCCAGTGCACAAAATTCGTGCACAAGGGAGGGGGGGTGCCATGTCCTACACACTCTCCAATCAGACCCCTCGGGAGATATCCAAAGGCCTCTCGAAATCCAGAACTGCTGGCTCCTAGCTGGTTGCCTGCCTGCCTGATTGCCCCTAACCCCTCTGCCTGCCTGTCTGACCGTCCCTAACTACTTCTGCCTGCCTGATAGCCCCTAACCACCTCTGCCTGCCTGCCTGATTGCCACTACTGTCCTGATCGCCCCTAACCACCTCTGCTTTGCCCTGCACCCAGGACCCAGGATTCCCTCCTCCAGCCAATCACAGGCACCCATGACCCAAGCCAGCTTCGCCCAGGCTGGCTGCAGCCACAGGGGACCATGG